CGTTTTTTCCCTCAAAAAAACTTTATTTTCCGCAAGGGAAATAAACAACATGTAAACAAGACAAAAGAAGTATCACAGGACCTGTTGCAAGAGACAAGAAAAATGTAAAAACTGTTTTGAAATTTCAGTCAGTGGGCATGATTCCACTACCCTGCTAACAGTTATTAGTGGAACAATGTTTTTGTGTAGCGGAGTAGCTTGACTTTGTTTGTTACTAACTTTGAAAACCGTTAGCAAAGCAATTAGCTTTTCCTAAATGAGTTTCGCCAACTTTAAGTCTGCTAATGGCTAGCTAATATCAACAGGTTTGTAACAGGCCCACTCTTATTTAGCTTGAAGGAGAAGAAAACACTGAAAACATGTGAAGCAGACTGAGTGACAGTCGCCTTAGCGGTTAATAATTAACTATTAGCGTTAGCTTCCACAGATTTTTACTTGTTTAGCGTTAGCTTCCAATTTTTTTAACACGTTTAAAGGATTTGTTTTTTAATACCTTTGAAAACTGTTACGGACCAATTAGCTTTGGCTGAATTAAGTTTTTCCATCTTTAAGTCGGCTAACAGCTAACTAACAAGCTAAAAGTCCCAACAGTCTTTAGCTGGAAGGAGACAAAGACGAGTGATGCAGACTAATTGACGTTGGACTTAGCAGTTAGCTTCAGCTTATTTATTTTTTTACATGTTCAGAGAATTTACTTTTACAATAACTTTGAAAACTGTTGGCAGAACAATTAGCCGTTTAGCATTAGTGAAGCTATATTTTTAGTTAGCGATTGATGAGTTAGCGAATGTTTGATGAAAAATGGATGGTTGAGAAAGGACATATGTCTTAAATTGTCTATAACTGGTCACCAATAAAGACTTTTTCGTTTTGGAACGTTGGTTTAAACGAAGATGAACAAAAACCAACAKGTGTAAACGTTAGCCTGTGGTTTTTGGTAGCTGATGAATAAAAACAGACCTTGATCTTCACACGGGTGAGCCGACAGGTAGATGTCGTCGACTGCGACGTAAGAGTTTCTGCCTCCGGCTCCGACCACCTCAAACTCCAACTGCGGAGCGAAAACAAAACCTAAAGTTACAAACTTTGTGGGGTTTTTTTTTGTGTGGTTCCTGACACCCATGATCCAAACTGTAAAACAAAACGGCTTGAAAAACATTAGAAGTCTGGTGATCAGTAGATCCAGTACCAGAGAGAACCGGTCTACGGGGGTCACTTGTTGCACTCGTTTAAGGCCCCAAAGGGTTTTCTTGAAGTTTTTGCTCAAAATACCAAAATATAACTGAGTGTACCTGAGCATTTATAAACTCTACTTAAATAATCTTGGTTTCAAAATAAAGCTACACTTGGTAGATTTCATCAGAAGTGTTAGTATGAAAACAGCTGCTGTGGTTTTAGAGATATTGAGGATGAACTTAATTTCTTTTTTCACTCCCACCTGAAGATTTTTTTCATTAGACAGTATATAACCCATTTAAAACCATAATGAATCAGGCTAAAAACTCTTGGAAACCATAAATCTACTTGTGGACATCACCTGTGCAAAGATTCATGCTGCTAAAATGAACTGGAGCAAAGTTACAGAGGTTTTAATAAAGAAATAATTTAACATTTAGTCATTCTGCACAGGACAGACCATGATGGTTCCATTKATAAATGTTAAGAAATCTGAAGTTTTTACGTCCATGTCCTTGTTTTTACGTTTCCATGAACCTTTAGCTAAGATCCTTAGGTTTATTTTGATACCAAACATGTCCAGGTTCAACTGACAGATCTTTAGTTAAAAGAAGCTAAAAGAAATAGAAAACAGAAATAAACTGTTTCATGGGGCTCAAGAGGTTACGGCTACGATGCACCTGCCAATCAACGAGTCCACTCGTGACGTTGCCGATGCCGTGGCGCCAGACGTCTCCTACGTTCGTGAAATCAGAGAAGATCATCAGCCTCGCTCCTCTCTCCGGCTTCACGTAAACKGTAAGATAACCTGCAAGGAACGCACGATTAGACGGGTTTTACTAGGACGTAGCGGTCGGTCAGTGTTCTGAGGGGAGAAATTTGCTCACCGGAGTTCAGTCCTCCCATGTGGTACCAGAAATACACACACTGTGTTCTGGTGGTTCCCGGCTGAACCGGGGAGGAGAGGGTAGCGGAGGTGCGGGCGGGAAGGATGTCTGCGTCGGTGTTAACCATCATATAGTAACCTGGGTAGAAAACATAAGTAGTAAAACTTTTATTTTTATGATTATTGGGGGAAAAAAAGGTATTTGTTGGGACTTTCTCTGACCCAGCTCGGTCTCCAGAGTGTGGTCTGTTTTGGGTCCTGCCATCGTGGTGGCGTATCCGTTGCGATGGAGCCAACGGACTTTACCGGCGCTGCTGTAACCACACCTCTGGCCCTCGAAGGAACACATCCTCGGTATGGTGCACGGGCGGTCCAAGAACGCCACGTCGTCGATGGCCACYCGCCCGTCGAAACCGGAGCGAACCGCTTCGAACATCAGCTGGAGGTGGGTCGAAGTTTAGGTTCAGAAAAAAAGAAAACAAACGTTAACCCCCAACCCCCGGATTACGCAACACCTTTTACTGTACGAGCCAGGAAATACCTGAAAGGTTGCGAGCTGGTGCGGGACCGGGCACTGCGCTTCGTGCCACACGTTCCCGTGAGCTCCACTGCGAGACCACAGAAGGACCTCGTAATCGTTCTGACCCGTCAGCTTCACGTTTAAAGCACCTGGATGAGGAAGCGACAGAAGAAACGCTTGTTAAACAACAGCAAACGAGACGAGGTTTGTCCGGTACTGTCGTAATCGTTCACCGGCGTTCGGTCCGTAGAGCTTGTAGAAGAAGGAGAGGCAGTAATCTGTGGGAGTTGGTGGTTGTGGGAATGATATCAAACGCCCAAACGCTCCTCGTAGAGATGGGCTCCACGTGTCCACGACAAGACTCCTGCCTGAAGATCAGCAGCAAGYACTAATCAGGTCAAAGTGTCGTTTGTAGGGTTTTATATTTGATTCTTTAGTGTTTCTCTGTTCCCTTGTGTTACTGTCTTTACTCCAGCCCCTCCCGTCCACACCTGATCCTCGTGTCTCGTCCCAGCTGTTCCTTATTGTCAGTTAGTCTCTACTTCTCTCTCGGCGTTGATGGGCATGGTTTCGCTAATCGGCTAACAGCTAACAGCGGAACTAATTTTTCATGTACCAGATTATCTTTTTCATTAACTTTAAAAACCGTTAGCAGACCAAATAGCTTCCACTAAATTAGGGTTTGCCAATCTGCTAACTGTTAGCTAACAAGCTAACATTACCAGGTTTGAGCCAGCCCCACCAGTAGGTGTCGTAGTGATTAGCTGTTAGTGTTAGCTTCCACTAATTGTTACTTGTTCAGCGTAAGCTTCTGCAGTTTTTTTTATGTAATTAGAGAATTAACTTTTTCACTAACTTTGAAAATGTTAACGGACCAATTKGCTTTCGCTAACAATTACCTAACAAGCTAAKAGGTTTGTCAYTTCCAGCGGTCTTCAGCTGGAAGGAGACGAACCTGTGTGTGTTAGCTTTTGCTAATTTTRACTTGTTTAGRGTTAGGTTCTGCRATTTTTCTTTTAAACATARTTAGCAACTTAGCATTAGCAAAGTTATCTAGTTAGTGTYRTATTAGTTAGTGAAYCTAATTTTCTGGTTAGCTGTGGCCACCACTGGGGATTTTCCATCTGCTACTGAAATTAGCTTTGCTAGCATCTGGGAAAGTAGCAAAACTGTAGGGTTTTTCTGTCCCAAATCATATTTAGTTTTTAGTAATGAACGGTCTGCCTGTTTGCTAACAGCTAACTCYTAAACATTAACAGGTTTGTGTCGGTTCCACCTGCGTTCTGCTGGAATGAGGTGAAGATGTGTGACGCAGACTGAGTGACAGTCGTCTTAGCAGTGAGTGATTAGCTGTTATTGTTAGCTTCCGCTTATTTTTACTTGTTTAGCCATTTAAGTTTGCTAACAGCTAACTAACAAGCTAACGTCAACAGGTTTATGTCAGCACCACCAGTCTTCAGCTAGAAGGAGACAAAGATGTGTGATGCAGATTTAATACTAGTTTTCTTAGCGGTTAGCGATTAGCTGTTAGTGTTAGCTTCAGTTTTGGTTTAACGTTCAAGAGCTACGTATTTAGCAGATTACGAGTTAGCAAAGTGTCCACCACAGCCTGTCAGTTTTGTTATTAAATCAGCATATTTTTCTTATTTATTTACTTTTTATGCTCCCTGGGTTCTTCGTGTACACAACGTGACACCAATGAGGTACGTTTTTTTGGGCTTACCGGTTCCAATGGTGTGGTCCATCCCAGTGAGGACAAACCAGTCAAAGTTGTCACTGGTGTCTTGATACCATGCACACAATCCATCCTCAAAGTTACACGACAGTCCTGTCTCAAAGAAAGACTTGTTCAATTAAGTTTTGAGATGATTCGAGGTGAAAAACATGAGGAAAAAGTTACCTGTTGGCGCAAACGGATAATAATTAGAATGACAGCTAATGAAGCTAACGTTCCCCACTTTGATCGTCTCGTTAGGCTGAATTTTCACAGCACGCGATTCAAATGCCAGCTAGAACAAATTAAAACATCAGATTTCTGATTTTTTTTTTCATAAACACATGACAAAGTCGATCTGGGCGTGAAAAAACTTACAAACAAATAAAACTTGGTTTTAGAGAAAAAAAAAAGGCCAACCTGGAAGCGATGTTTCCTGACTCCAACGTGGATGTCGGCGTGCTGCCAAGCATCCTCGTGGTTTCCTGTTTTCCCGCTGAACTCCCACAGTTTGGGTCCCACGCCCAGCGAGCTGTCAATCACTCTGACTGACAGCTCCCCTGAAACAAAGAAACACGATCACAGCTGTTTCTATCCAGGGGAGAAAGTTAACCAGTTACACTCCTTTAAATAAAATTTACCAATATGACTTAAACTCCCAGCGAGAGCAAAATCAAAGCTGAGGTTACAGGCTGGACCGGTGGGGCCCAATAGGGGGGTTCGGGTCTGCGCCTGTGTTAGCTGCTGGCCTGGAGCCTCGGCTACATATAGATACTCCTCTAAGAAACATCAAAGAAAGAGGTTTAGAAACACAACTAAAAGCAAATGAATTAAAGTGTTTGTACCTTCAGCTGAGTCATTTTTAAACAGCATCCAAGTTTGGCTCCCAACGCTGGAGTCAGTCCATCCTGAGCTGCCTTCAGGGTACGAGAAATCCCCTGCAAGAAACATTTATCAACTGTAGACATCCACATGAAGAGGCAAGAGATTTGTGTGGATCATGTTTGTTAAAACCAAAGCCGAAGAAAAAAGTCGATGATTAGTTTTGACAACCAGTTTTAACCACTTATACATCCAATGAATATTTCTGAGCATGTATCTACAATCTCATATCAACCAAACTCTAGGGGGCGCTAGAAACACACCATGTTATTACCTCATAAATAGTAAATTCAGACTGACGCGAAAATCATTCCTGAAAATCAAACCTGCCGTGTTGAGAAACTACGGTTTTTGTTACCTGCCGCCCACTCAACTCCAGATATGTAAGTTAGTGGTTTTATTTTCTCCTTCTGAAAATGCTTTTATATGAACCCCTTCGGACGTTTACCTGAATAATGAGCCTCACCTGTTTTACTCTCATTTCAAATTACACACCTGCCACAGTCACTAGTGCGTCGTTCAGATCTACACGCTACTTCGTAATTTTACCTGCATTTGACCTGTGGCAAGTGCTAATTTCCATCCCTGCTTCTAAATATTTGTAGGTTTATCCAACCTAATGGCACATTAATAATGAAATTATAGTCCCAATGTCCTCAAATGAGGACTTTATCTTTACAGACATTGTACTTTGCTTCAGCTCTAAAAAAACATCAAATTTGCCTGCCTTATGAAGCTAAAGATGTAACTGTGCATAAATACAACTGGTTTCATGATTAAAGCCTAATCGTACTGTAGATTGACCCCTGCCATCTTGTTTTCACACAAATGAGTGTAACATTGTCATGAGACCACTAGAGGGCACTGATAGTGTCCTTTAATGAGGCCGATGGGTTAAAGTTGTTCAGCACTGCAGGTGTTAGGGGATAGTTGTTTTTATTTTTGACTTTAAGTTGGCTAAATTTAATTTAGCAGATCCTAATAGACCAATTCATAGTTTTTTGTGAGCATAGCAAAGCCTAGCTCTTCTGGGTCACAGGTCAACTGGGTAAAAGCTGAGGTTGCTCTATGAACGCCATTGGAATTATGCAAACTCAGTAAGCTCAAAAAGCACGTTTAGATATTTATGACAAATGTCATCTACGATCCTAAAGGAAAGTTTAACACAACTGTGTTTATAGCAAATACATGGGGTTTGTATAACAGTTTACCTGTTGAATTTGTGCAATTATAATGGTGTTTCGATAGCAACCTCAGCTTTATCCCATAATTTTATTTATTTGTTTTTATTTAACCTTTATTTCACCAGGTAAAACATTAAGAACAGTTTCTTACTTACAATCTTGACCTGAGTGCAAAAACAAAAACATGAGGTCGGCTCGCTTTGCGCATTTTTGATAATTTCTACTGGTCCGCTAACATTGTCCAAAGTTAACAAACCTGTTGATGTTAGCTTGTTAGTTAGCTGTTAGTGGACTTAAATTTGTCAAAACCTAATTTAACGGAAGCTAATGGAGACCTTCACTCTATTTTTAGAACACGAGTCACATGACTACCTGTGTATCCGCTCGACACTGCATACAAACTCTCAATCAACGAGGCTATTAGCCAACTTTGTGAAAAGACTAATCCACTAAATGAAAAGATTTGCTCCGCTATTAGCAGTTAGCTGATAAACAAAACAAAAAAATTAGCAGCAGCTAATACTAACAGCTAATCACTACCTGCTACAGTCTGTGTCATACATCTTCATCTTATATGAACAGGTGGGACTGAAACAAACCTGTTGATGTTAGCTTTAGTTAGCTGTTAGTGGATTTAAATTTGGTAAAACCTAATTTAGCGGAAGCTAATTTGTCCGCTAAATCAGTGATTCTTAACCCATAGAACGCGAGCGCCACCTTGAGGGCCTCAAAAGAACAACAGTTTTTAACTTTGGGCCGCAGAGGGCCGCGAGACCACATTGATTTTGAATAAGGTGCAATACACTTTCTCACCACGAGTAGTGGTAGTGCGCCACTAAGATGTTTAACAACTTTTTTAATATGTAGAAGAAGAACCTTAGTTACCAGCTAAGAATGGAAAACATGAAAAGTAGAAGCAAATATGAAAGCAACTTGTCAAAAAAAAGCTTGTCACTAATATGAAGAGCAGCTTCTGGTTCTAACACTAATCCGCTAAATGAAAAGTTAGCTCTGCTATTAGRGGTTAGCAGATTAGCGGAACTGTGAAGTGTCGGTTTCATGCAACCCAAACAGAATCCACTCACCYCATTTGGCCTCGTCCTGTCCTTCTGCACAGTCAACGTGAAAGTCACATATTTTGTTTGGATCATCGATGCATGGCTTCTTAGGAGGTTCTGGGAACGCGTCCAGTGAGTGATTTACTGGAAGAGAAGAGAACGTGACAAGGATTTACCAAACCAGAGGAGAAAATGACTTTTGTCTTTTGGAAGTTGAGATAAAAATCATACCAGGTGACAAGCGGCAGTCAGGCGATAACATGATGCTGTCGACGGCAATTCCTCCGTACGCAAAGTCTCTGATTGCTGCCATTATCACAATCTGTAGGAATATTAAAGGTTTTATAATTGAATGTAATGATTTAAATACCTGGATCAACATGCCAGAAGCATTCACCTGGAAAGGTAAGTCGGCTACGATCTCCACCTCCGCTTTCACCCAGAGATCCCCTAAAGCTCCGCCCCTTTTCCACACCGGGTAAATCTGTCGATCCGACACCATCACCGTCAAACCTCCGGACCGCGGCCCAAACTGGTGAGTGTACATCACCATCTGCGACGAACAGGAATCACCTCGTCTTAGTTTGAAATAAACTTATTCATTTAAWCTTTTATGTAACACTAAAATAAACAAAAAGTGTGAACACAGCAAAACCAACCCTGAAAGTGCTGCACAGAACACCTTTGTTACATTAAAAACCAATTCTCAACAGTAAACAATGGTAGAAAGGAACAATMATCATTCTTTGACTCACTTTGCAGGGATGTGTTCTGTTGGTGGGTTGAAGAGGTGGACTTTGAAACGCAGCCCAGTCCATTGTGAGACCAGCATCAGGGACAGTGACGTACAGGAAGTGACCTGTTATATCAATATTATTATTATTATTATTATTATTATTGCACATTTATGCTTAAAGTGCCTGTGACATGCTTATCCTTCAGATACAAAAAGTCAAAAAAGCTTTGTTCTATTTAAGAAACTTGGCATACCACATATTATTTTGCCCATTTGGACACATAACTGGCCGGTTTTCTTTTTAAACTGGCTTGGCAAAAGGGAAACAGGAAGTGACATCAAAGGGGAACTCCTTTAAGAAAAAGAACTCACTGGTCTTTGTTTATTGAAACATTAGGATTTGAACTCTGACTTGTTTTTTTTTGTTTCTGTCTGATAGTGACTCAAAATATTATAAAACATCAGATTCCTCTCCACAGTCTGGGTTGTTGAGCATTTCAGCTTAGCTCTGTTTACATTCAGACATTCCCCTTTGACGTCACTTCCTGTTARTTTACATGCAAATATCTCAACAACTGTTCARCTCAGCAGCATGAAAATTATTTTGTAAAATGTTCTCAGTGTTATCTTTACAAAAATGCATTTGTATTKTTACAAACGTTTTCATGTCACAGGRACTTTAAACCTTTGGTAAGCAGCTGTAATTTTGGACCCAACTGTGAGAGATTTAGTAGAATCTGACCAGTCAGTTTTCAGGATACCTGATGCCGTGTTGGTGGAGTGATCTCTGCCCGGACCTTTCAAAGGATCCGATCTGGAGATGTTCTCCTGATTCGTTCTTTTCCATTTCAGTTTGGAAAGTGACCTCAGGTCCCAATCACACTGGTCCTCATCAAAGTCACAGAGACGGTACCCATCTGGTGTAAAAAATAAATAAAAACCATGATCACAAGATCAGAAACACATCAAATAGAACCAAACTGACTTTTCTCTATAAGCTACGTTAAGCACTTCTGAGATCATCAGTAACATTTGGAAAGCTTTGTTATCCCTTTATACTTTTTTTTTCTTTACCTTCAATTTTTGCTTTTTTATTTAACAAAAGGCACAATAAGCTTTTCTGTTATAGATTATTAGATATTTAGTGAGTGTCAGAAGGATTCAGGCAGCTGTGTGAAGAGCTAACCAAAACGTTAGCTTCACTAACTCATAATTCAATAACTAAAGATAGATAAAATATGTAAAAAAAGATGGCACAAGCTAACCTAACATCTAGACAAGTAAACTTTAGCTGAAGCTAACATAAACAGTTATGCGCTAACATAATTTTCACTGCGAACTAGTGCGACTGACACAAACCTGTTGATGTTAGCTTGTTAGTTAGCTGTTAGCAGACTTAAATTTGTCAAAACCTAATTTAGCGGAAGCTAATGGAGACCTTCACTCTATTTTTAGAACACGAGTCACATGACTTCCTGTATGTCCGCTCGACACTACAAACTCTCAATCAACGAGGCTATTAGCCGACTTTGTGAAAAGACTAATCCACTAAATGAAAAGATTCGCTCCGCTATTAGCAGTTAGCTGATAAACAAAACAAAAAAATTAGCAGCAGCTAATACTGACAGCTACTCACTCACTACCCGCTACAGTCTGTGTCATACATCTTCAACAYYTGGGACTGAAACAYACCTGTTGATGTTAGCTTTAGTTAGCTGTTAGTGGATTTAAATTTGGCAAAACCTAATTTAGCGGAAGCTAATTTGTCCGCTAAAGCAGTGATTCTTAACCCATAGAACGCGAGCGCCAACTTGAGGGCCTCAAAAGAACAACAGTTTTTAACTTTGGGCCGCAGAGGGCCGTGGGACCGTATTGATTTTGAATAAGGTGTAATACACTTTCTCACCACGAGTAGTGGTAGTGCGCCACTCAGATGTTTAACAACTTTTTTAATATGTAGAAGAAGAACCTTAGTTACCAGCTAAGAATAGAAAACATGAAAAGTAGAAGCAAAAATGAAAGCAACTCGTCAAAAAAAGCCAACGTTTGTCACTAATATGAAGTGCAGCTTCTGGTTCTACCATGAAGTATTTTAAAAGTTCAAAACATTATCAAATACAGTTGCAGATACAA